GCTATCTGGTCATGTCTAGGGGACACCAGCTAGTAACAAGTGTCCTCATTCTTTTACTCTTACAAAACTCTACCCCTTCTTATTTGGGGTACTCCAATCCTTAGGTGTAGGACTTATACTGTGTACATACTGACTGGGCTTGGGCACACCATAGTCACCTATTTGCCTTTTGACCAATTGTGATTCTCCATAATAGTCTCCATCTGTTGCAAAAAGAAGCTTCATTGATGAGGTGTGAAAGAACACTTTTCTGTAGGTATAAAGATACATACTTACAATGCAGTTAGAAATTCTATTGCTCTAGGAAAGTACCACAGTAGGAGGTTCACTGTTAGGCACTTGACTGCTGATCCTATGACACAAAGCAGCAGAATGATTCATAATCAGAATTACTTCCTTTCTAAATTTGAAAATGATGTCATTGAGGACTCATTTCTAAGTTAGAAGTACATTGTGCATAGACAGCAAAAGTGTGAAGAGGAGTTATTAAGGGTAGAAATGTAAAGATCCCTAGTTTGGGGCTGGCAAGATGGCTTAGCAGATAAAGGAACTTGCTATTCAAGCCATATGACCTGAATTCCATTACTGGAACATATGTAATATTAGAAACAGAGAACTGACTCTACAAAGCTGTGGTTAACACACACATACACACACACACACACACACACACACACACATACGCACGCACGCACGCACGCACGCACACATACATGCACATATACGCACATATCACCACCATCATCAACAACAATGATAATTATAATAATAATGTAAAGATAATACTGATTTGTGTTACCTATATAATCAGCATGATTTTGAACAATGTTAACAAAGCTTTCATTAAGATTTTCTTTAAGGAAAAGTTCTAAATAGGGCTCTAATAATTTAATAAGGTCATCACTTGTATGAATATAACAATGTTTAGTGAAAAAAGAATCCATGAGTTTGAAAGAGAGCAAGAAGAGATACATGGGAGAGTTCAGAAGCAGGAAAGGTGGAGGAGTGAACTATGTAATTATATTATAATATCAACATATAAAAGAAATACTTTTTAAAAGTAATCACACATCGAACTACTGAACTGACTAGAAATTCTACAAATTGCCTAGTAATGTATGTTAACTGTGCACTTCTTTAGAACCTAGCAATAAAAATGCTTACAAATACTTTAAGGAGGTGGATCAACATAGCAAGCTGTAATTAGTGGTGTCTTCGGAGAGTCTGGAGCTACTGAAATTGTCCTTGCATTGTTCTTTCCATATTTTCATTCAGTGGGCAGCATACTGCCTTTTTCCACTTTGTGTGAAAAATGAGGGCTGAAAAGATCCATAACCCATACTTTGAAGAAGTATGGAACACAACTGTCAGCTTTGAACAACCTCAAATTAAATTCTTTGTCCCCATTTGGTCTTCATTTTAGGGTTTTTATAAACAGGAACATTTAAATATAATGTTTTTCTTATAGTAAAAACATGTTTTCAGGTCATGGAAATATGACAGGCTGTCTTTTATTATTTATTTCATCAGTCATTTAATTGTTCCTGTTGCATTTCTCCCAAAAGAGAATATGCATATTTTTGTTGGTGGGGTGTGTATGTATCTTTGTCTGTGTCTGTGTATTCTGTAAAAAGTTCTTGGCTAAATGGGTTTTGGTTTAAAACTTACATTCATGATGATAATGGGGTGGCATTTGGATTCTGTTGAAACGTTTGTGCAAATGTTTGCCTGTCCATGTTGATCCAATGGCAATGATGTCATTGGCTAGATATATCAAGGATTCAACCCAGAGAATGACACATCTTTCTTGGTTTCCAGTATTGCTTCTCTTTCTTAACAAAATTGCCAGTAAAGACTTGACAGGTTTCACAAACAGTTTCCATTTCTTTCTTCTGTTAAAATTTGACAGTGTTCACCTTATGGTCTTGAGGTGGTTATCAAGGTTCACTGTCAGCTTTGAGTGATGCATAACTTTCTAGTGGGTCACAATCTTTACAACATACATCAGTGACCAAGATGCTAAGAATGGCCATTTCGCTTTGTGTTTTATACAGAACGTCCTGAAAGACTCTAAATAAAAAGCAAAGCACAGGAATTTTCTTTTAAGAAAAATATGGAAGTCATTTTTGCTTCTGAAAGTAATGTTATGAAATATTTAAAAAACTTAGACACACACTCTTTGTACATACTTACATATTGTATTGGACTACTTGGCTCACAGAACTTAACACCCAGGTGCTATTTGTGAGTGCGTTTGAGCTCCAAGCTTCTAGTTTCCTTTTACCTGAACTTTGGTCCTGGGTACTAGAGTAGCCTTCTTCCTCTGAAGTTCTATTAGTCCTCCTTCCACTGTGTAAGCTTCCTAGTTGTTATTTTCCCAATATCATCGATGCTTCCTATCTGACCTGAAAACTCTAATCATTCCTCTTCTGGACAGAAGGGTATCTCCCATTTCTTCTGGTCCTTATACCAAAAGTCCAGGCCAGATCATCTAATGAAGGATATAACCACTCTCTCAACTACATTCATCACAACCAACTAGTGCCAGTTTTGTTATATGACAGAATAATAGGTATATTAGGTAGAACCAATCCCACTAACACAGCTTATGATCTAGACAACAAGCATTCAATAAAGATGAAAGCAATCAATATGTGAAGTACCATTCAAAAACAGCTGTGAAGGCAAACACAGCTTTGTAGACAGAGCACAGGTGGAGAGAGAGCTGGTTTCATGTATGTGACCACACTGGAGAAAGTAACTTTTGAGCTGAAAAGTGAATGAGGAAACAGAGAAAGCCAGGGCCTGGACTGGAGGAAGTCAGATGGGCAACTGCATATGTCAAGACCTAAAGACTAATTAAATCTAATTAAATTCATCACATATATTAACTTTTTGCAGATAGTGATCTCTCTATCTATAAGGTCATACATTCCTTTTCTTCTGGTAGATCTGCAATGTATTAAAAACAAGTTGACAATAAGTGTTTTGCAAATGACTATAATTAAGACAAAGGGACCATTTTATTAATTTCTTTTCTTTTTTCCAGTGTCCAGGGGGGGCATTTACACCCAACATGAGAACCACCAAGGACTTCCCAGATGATGTTGTCACTTTTATCAGGAACCATCCTCTCATGTACAATTCCATCTACCCAATCCACAGAAGGCCTCTGATTGTCCGCATAGGCACTGACTACAAGTACACAAAGATAGCTGTGGACCGTGTGAATGCTGCTGACGGACGATACCATGTCCTATTCCTGGGGACAGGTAGGTGATGGAGCTCATGTTGTACTACAAAGGAATGTTAAGTAATTTAGGTATAAAGGAAAGACCAAAATATTGAGACTATAAGGACACCAATGTTTCCTTTTGTTTAGGCTTTAGTGTGGGTTTAATCTCCCCGTGCCTCATTTTCCACAACTGTAAATGGAGTTAATAAAATAAGTTACTTATGTGGTTGTGTGAAACAACTGAAGTTCATATTGAAAGCATCCCAAATAGTTCCTCATCCATATTAAAGTGAAAAATAAAAATATTCAGCTAAATTAGAGCTGGAAGTTTTAACTATGAGCAGTGTTCTTCTGAAGTGAAGCTGAATCAGTGACTTATTAATCAATACTTGGAGTCATATACACAGTGATAATGATAGATAAGATATTCTTTGTAACATTGGAAAGTGGACTTACATAAGGATAGCTATTTGGAAAATATTACAGTTACTATATTAATAGAGCCAACAATTCCTAAATTTTCTATTTCTTTTTCTAGAAATTCAATGAAAATAGTCTTATTTACAAAGACTTGCTTTATTGGGGTTGATGAGTTATGAGTGTTTTATAGCATTGGCTCTCACAGTGTGATCCTCTGACCAGAAAGATCAATTTCGCCTAGACCTTGTTAGAAATACATTTGTAGGCCCTCCTCCAAGAATTCCATATACAAAACCCAGCCATCTGTGCTTTTGCAAGCCCTTCTGGTGCTTCTAATGCACACTAAGTTTACAAATCACTAGAAGGGAGAAAGGAGGCTTCTCTGGCTGAGTAGACAGGATTACAAATTCCCCTCCTTGACTCCATTTGCACAGTGTCTGCTAGGTTCCTCCAAGCAGCAGAATTCCACAACTTACTGACTTGTAGGCACAGATAGAGATCTCACCAGTTGTCCTTCTAGAATGGTAAAACAACTACATGAAGTATGCAATGTGTCTTCTAATTACAGAAACAGATATAAAACAGACCTGTGAAAGACATCGTGAAATGTGGCGGGTGTGGAATATGTCCTCTGAGTTGAAGGAGTTGCACTAATATTTCAATGAGCTTCAAAATGTGATTACTTTTTTCTTGGCTAACTAAAACTTCCAGCCTGCTCTTCTCATGAAATTCTTATTGTATCCCTTCTTATAGCTAAAAGCCTGGATCTGGAGCTTTCATTCACACATGATTTTTGTTTGAAATCCTAGAGACAGAATATTCTAGAATGTATTCTTTGGCATCCCTGGAAGAGTCTGGTTTTCCCTGCTCCCACATTACTTGCCTGACTTGTGAGGCATAAAATCCTTCCTTCGCTGATCTAATCATTTCTTATCTCTCAACTGCCTGCCATTTCCAGGACCTTTGTTGTCAATTATAATCTTAATATCTAGATTCTCTCATTTCATCCTCTACCAAATTTGACTTGGAAAGTTTCTTCCCTCATACAGAACATGCGTGAGTATTAACCCTTCTGCCAATTCTATTTCCCTGCAGATTTCACCAGGGTCTTGGATGTTCTCATCCTATAACCACTAAAATACCCTCTGCTCATATATCATATGGCATTTTAGAATCTCTTTGTGTGTTGGTTCAGCCCTGTGGCATGGCATGTAGTTCTTGTCCTCATTCTTCTTGTATGTTGGGTATCTGCAGGGTTTTTCATGTCCTCCTATTCCTGTACATTCTTTGACCATCTTGTTTTATTCACTTTATTTATATATCATGTGCAAACAAATTTAAAAAGCGTGTTATTAATCCTTGGAAACTCAATAGTTGAATTAGAATTTCAAACACTCCATGTATACTCTTCCAAGACCTTCTAACTAATACTTAGTGCACTTGCCCCATAGTGGATTCACTGTGGCACATTGTTCCCATGCTTTGATCTCTTTGTAGCTTATAATTTCTCTTTAGGCACATCACAGGGTTTTGCCAGCCCAATAAATATTTGTCAGGCAGAACTTAAAAGCAAACATGAGAATGTACACTGTTACACAGGCAATATAATTGATCCACTCATGCCCCCACAAGACAATCTTTGTTTGCATATACGTTTGTTTTCATAGATAGATGATTCTTAAATTACTACAAAGAGTTGTATTTATGCCAACAGAATACTCAAGATAGAGTTTGCATTGAAAAAAAAAAAACCTGTATTTCTTGAAAGAAAGTCGCAGTTTAAAGTCACTATTTTCTCAATGTCTCATGTTAGATAATTAATTGTTTCTGTTTGCTTCTTTTGAAGCCTGTTTAGAAGGTGGATGTAGAAGTCACCATAGGGTTCCTTTCTTTTAAAACATCTACATAATATATGTAGATGTCATTGGTGGAATTTTCAAGTCTTTTGAAAATGTTCACCAATGTTTATTTAAATGGAAGACAGCAGAAACATATTTCTTGAAAGGTGCTTCAGCTTTTCTTCCCACATAGGTTCTGGCACCTTGACATGGTATTTTTTAAATGTGTATTTAAACACTTGTGTCCTTTCAAAAAGTTGTCTTTAGGTATAAGCTTTTAATTGTAGTGGAAGCTTCACTAATGACTGCTTGCAAAGCCTCCTGAGTGTCTGGGAAATTCTGTACAAGAGGTAGAGTGCTTGTTGTGGCAAAGCCTCTCCCCAAGGCATCTTTCTGGAAAGATGGTCACTGACTTAAGCATAGATCCTTGTCCATATTGTCCCAACATTCATGGAAATGGAATGACTAGGACACTGATATAAAATGGAATTTATTTGGAAAGAATACTTCACATAAGTAAATCATTATCAGAAAACCATTTAACCTTTTCTGAAATGGTTTTGAGAGAATCATTCACCACTGTCCTATGCATAACTAATTCTATATGTAAGTGGGAGAATATCATGTTTTTTAGATGTTGTCAAATTTCTAAGTACAGGAGAGAATTTCCATTGTCATGGATGAATAATGATGCATCAATTATGGTGACAATAAAGAAAGCTTATATCATAGCTTCACTTCTTATCTGCTATCTTGATACCTTCAGGGGAATTCAAAAAAAGCACCAGTTGTCAAGAAAGTTTCCATAGAGAAAACTGATGTGACAGGTCATTGGAATTCAATTAGGATATTATGTCGTTATAGAAGCATATACAGTGTGAGTATTATGAATGAAAATGTAGCTCATAGAACCCCAAATTTGGCTATGTGGGTTCAAAGCCAGATATTATCATTTATAGAATTTAATTGAGTCTCAGATGCTGATGATCTAACCTTCCAACTTCATTACTGGACAGCCAAGTAAATTATCAGGCTGAAGAGGTAGGTCATTAGTTAAAGGCTAAAGCTCACAGCCCAAATGACCAAAACTAAGATAAAGGTTTCCTTTATATGCTATGAAGTCCCAAGCAAAATAAGTAAGTGAAAGGTAGAGAGAAGAGAGAAACAAGGGCAGGATGGGCAGACAAGAAGGGGAGTCACAGAGAGAGCTTCAGCCAGCAAAGCCTATATAAATTCTTTGGTCTTTTACAGAAAAAGATTACTTTTGCTTGTTTGGGTTGATAAATATAGGATTTTCATGAAGTTTTTCAGGTAGTTTATAAAGGCTGTATAGGTATTGATGTTTCCCCAATAAAAATTTCTTTTATATATTACATGCTGTTTTGTTTAAATTTAAACTGAGTCTACTTAATTATTTTTATATCATTCCTGACACTACCCTTAAAAGCCTCATTGTGTGTGTGTGTGTGTGTGTGTGTGTGTGTGTGTGTGTGTGTGTGTAACATCAACTATTTGTTTTAATCATTAATACTCCGTTTTTTCTTATTCTTTAAGAAGGTTGTAACATGTGGGCAAAGGCTGTCATGGGATTCATATTTCTCTTTTAACCTGACCACCTACCACTTATACTGAGGCCATTGGTGCAGAGCAGACTCTAATACAGACTCAAGAGATTTTAGCCTGTTTTCCATTTGCTTCTGCAGTTATGAACATATTTTAGTGTCTGAGTAAGGTTCAGACACATTCTGTCAAGTTTACAGTTTTAGCACTGCACATGAATCAGAATGATGTGATTTTTTGGTGAAAGGGTAAGCGTTCTTGTGAATGGGTGTTAAAGATTTAGGATGATTTAACAGCACTGTGGTTTTTTGAGGTGGAATCAGTGTGAGTGGTCCTTCACCACAACCCTTATATGCCATATACCATTTCACACTTCTTATTAGCTTCCATTTAACTGGATGAGTACTGAGTCAGAAAGTTGGCTCCAGGAAGTCTTCCCAGTATGCAGAATTCTGAAGTATGTGCCACATGTGTGAGCAGAGCCTGAAAATGCCTGTCTGGCAACACTGGAGAATAACTGCTTTCTTCATAACTAGAGGTGTTGGCATTTGCTGCTCTTGAAATGGCATTCTGAAGGAGATGCTGTGCCAGGAACTCTGAGTTTTTAAAGAACTCTCTAAAATGCTCATGTAAAGGTTAATTGTTGGAGAAACGTGTTTGATTTGGGAAAAGACCATCATCTTTTGAGCGCTACTCATGAAAATCCTCTAAGGATTATGTACACATTTCTCCCTCATTTAGGGGTGAAGAACAAATCTCTTGAAAATCAGTGGACAGACTTTGGAAACTCTGACAGTTTATCATCAGTTCAGCAGAGATTTTCACAGCAGTCAGTTATGGTGGGACACAGTAGAACCATGGCTGAAATGATAGGAGAAAAATGATAATTCATTTTGCCATGGATACTTTATCATGTAAAGAGCAGCAAAGGAGAAAGCGGTGAAGAGAAATAAGAAAAGGAGAGGATAGTCTCAGACTTATCTTTTGTACAAAGACAAATGTTCTCACATGAACTGTGAGAACTGTGTAAGATGAGGAGCTGATTCAATGGGTATAGTCCTTGCTATGGAAACCTGGCAACTTGTTAGTGAATCTGCAGAACACACTGGGTTTCAGCAGAGGCAGTAGCATATGCATTTGTCATCCCAGCACCTCCATGGGGGGCAGGATATGGAAACAGGGCACTCCTTGGAAGCCTGTAGACCAGTGAGCCCAGCAT